TAGCCCCATGCCCGACGTACTGCACAAGTAGCGCAACACCCTCTTCGCTGCAGCCATGTGCTCTGGTCGGTGTCTCCGAGGAGCAACATAGCGTGCCAAGATGCTAAGAGGGTATGCAAGGTCAGGTCGTGTGCAGGTCTTCAGATACATGAGGCAGCCAATAAGCTCTGGGTACGGGCCACTCGGCTCTACGGACTCATCCGAAGGCAGAGGTGAGAGCGAGTGGCGAGTAGACAGAGGAGTGGCCTGAGGCGAGGAGTACGTGAAGTCGAAGCGCTGAAGGACCTGTTGCACCATGTGTGACTGAGTCAGGGTAATGGTGCGCTGTGCTCTCACCGGGTGATCTGCAAGCCAAGGTAGCTGCGTAGTTCACCCAGGTCTGTGAACGTGTGTCTCTTCTGCAGCTCGGACTTCATGTGGGCTAGTCCAGCAGTGTCAGCAGTGGCAAAGAGGTGTCGGTGCACAAAAACAGCGACCGGTCGGCAGTAGAAGGAGCAAACCCAAGAGCCGCAAGTGTATTCCTCAATGTGTCGTGCCACTTACGGGGCACCTGGCGGAGACCGTAGACTGGCCGCCGGAGGCTCCACTAGGTACCAGGAGGAAACGACCCAGTGAAGCCAGGTGGGCGGCGCGGCCAGATCTCCTCGTGCAAGCTGCCTTGTAGGAAAGCTGTGCTGAAGTTAAGAGAGTGAAGCTCGTAGTCGCGCTGAGCGGCTATGTGCAGCAGCACCCGAAGAGTGGTCATCTTCGGGATGGGAGAGAAGGTCTGAAAGTAGTCAACTCCCTGCCGCTGACTGAAGCCTCGAGCCACGTAATGCGCCTTGAAGACAGGCGGAGAACCCGGCGGCCGCTTCACCCTAAAAATCCACATGCCACTGACGATGTTCACCCTAGGTGGGGGAACCTCGTCGGCGTAGGTGCCTGTGGACTTCCAGGAAGCCATCTCTGCGTCCATGGCTGACTGCCACTGTGAGGAGTAGGGACCCTCGATTGCCTCAGCGTTCGATCGAGGAGTCGGGATGTCTGGTGCATGCGGGTCTCCCTCAGGGGCAATCAGCGTGGACATGAGATGAGGCAAAGTAGCAGCAAAAAAGTGGAACTCCTCCTGCCTGTCCTCAAGGACGTTCGTGCTAAGAGCACACTCAACCCCGACGGACGGAGGACAGACAGACTCAGACTCAGCAACGAGACTAGCGGCGTAGTCTAGAAGACAGCGAGGAGCAAAGTCGACAAGCTCAGCAGCCAAGGCAGACGCATCAGTGGACTCAAAGGAAGGGTCAGTGACAACAGTGGCTAGGAAACGCGTGACAGTAGGACTAGCAGCATGAAGAGAGTCAGACTCCGGGTAAGCAAGAACAGGGAGAGAGGACTCTGGAGCAGACGGCAACGGGACACGCAGAGGAGCAGTGGAAGGATGGAGTGCCATCTGGTGTGGGCCTAGGACCTTAGGAGGACGCGGACGCGGAGCACGACTACTAGTGCGAGCAGTACGAACAGGCGGCGCAGGACGAGACGCGAGCTCACGACGCTCAGCAAGACCTCCAGTAGGACCAGTGTAGGGAGAAGGAGTAAGCAGGGGGGAGGCAGGCTGTAACTGTGACCGCGACTGGACAGGCTGTGGACACTCTAAGGGAGGAGCAGGACCAATAGAGGGCGGGAGACCAAGAACGTGCTCAAGGAGCGGAACGAAGTACGGCCGCGGCCGCACAGCGCCTCCAGAACCAGCAGAGACAGCACCAGTACCCCGAAAGGTAGCACCAGTGCATGCAATACCTCCAGCTCCAACAGCGCCAACTCCAGCACCCTCCAAAGCACCAGCGCCAGCAGCACCACCAGTGCCAACACCCCCAGCAGCCCCAGCCCTAACAGCTCTAGCAGCTCCAGCAGCACCAACGCCAGCAGCACCTCCAGCGCCAACACGCTCAGCGGCTCCAGCTCCAGCAGCTCCAGTACCACCAGCAGCTCCAGCAGTACCTCCAGTAGGACCAACTCCAACAACCTCAGTAGCACCCCCAGTCCCAGCTCCTTAAGTACCGTCAGTACGAGCACCTCCAGGACCAGCAGGAACACTAGAACCTCCAGCTCCAGCAGCACGGCTCCAACGCTGGGCAAACCACTCGCGTAGCTCCTGCGGGGAGAGTAGCTCCCGCGTCGACGAAGCACCGCCACAGGCCACACGAGCAGACCCAGCACACCAAGGCTCCGTACCCCCAGGCTCAACACCCCTAGGCTCCGTACCCCCAGACTCAGCACCCTTAGGCTCAGCACCCCGAGACCCAGCACCCCCAGGCTCCGCACCCCCAGGCTCAGCACCTCCAGACCCGGCACCCGCAGGCTCAGCACCTCCAGCAGCACTAGAGTCAACAGCTACCTCGACAGGCTTGACTGCGTCTACCTTGGACACACCTGACGGGGCAGGACCCTGAGGGGGGAGGGGGTCTACCGGGGGAGGACCTGGCGCAAGGAAGAGCGGGGGCGGGGGGAGGGGCGCAGCGCGGTAGGGGAAGAGACGGTAGTAAGGCACCGACTCGTCAAAGGTGACGTCCTGGGAGGACAGAACACGGCGCGAGGTGGGGTGGTAAAACTGCCAACCAGGCGCGTCAGGGGGGAAGCCAAGGAAGACGCGGGGAACAGCACGGGGGGACAGCTTGTCCGTATACAAGTCGCGGACAAACGCCCGAGATCTCCAGACCCGAAACGCAGACGCATCGCCAACCTTCCCCGTCCACCGCAAGGTGGGGGAGGTGTCCGGCAAGGAGACCCGGGGCTGAAGGTTGAGCTGATGCGCTGCATACTGAATCGCAAACGGCCACAGAAAATGGGGGGCAGCTGCATGGATCATGGACGCACGAGCGACGTCCATGACCATGCCAATGCGGCGCTAAGCAATCCCATTTTGCTCTGGAGAGGCCGGAAGCGTGAAGGTCTGGCGGATGCCCTGTGCACGTCAAAAGGCTCCCAGACGGGCAGAGGAACACTCCCCGCCTCTATCCGAGTGCAGACGCAGAACAAGAAAGTCCGAGCCGAAACTCCATCTGAGCAGGAGACGAGCTGTGCGGATCCAGTCGATCAACACCTCAGGGACGTCACCCTTGCTGCGCAAGGGGAACACCGTGGTGTAACGCGAGTAGTCGTCAACCACCAACAGGAAGTAACGCTCGTGTCCCTGGCCACAGACGCGGGCGGGGCCCCACACGTCCATGTGAAGAGTCTGCAGCGGAGCCTCTGTTGGAGGAAACTCGGAGGAGTGAGGGGCGGCGCACTGTCGTCCCTCGACGCAGGGGACGCAGGTAGGGGCAGGCCCCGGAGGTAGGGGAGGTAGGGACCGGGGGAGACCAAAGACAAGGACACGTGAGGCCATGCCTCGGAGACGAGGCAGGGAGGGGTGACCAAGGCGGTGGTGCCAAAGGAGAGTCTGGTGGGACAGGAGACGACACGAGCAGGGCGCAGACTCAGGACCAGACCTGGACGCTGCAGCTAACACCTGACTTGACGCAGCTACCTGACCAGACTCAGCAACCGGAGGAGACTCAGTATTCAGTGTGTACAGGCTCGACCCCGGCCGACGGGTAAACGTGGCCAAGTGTCGGCCCGTCCGAGCACACGTGCAGTGGGTCACCCGCTGACTCGCAGGAGTGAACTGGTCAACCCCCCTATCCTGTAGATCAGCTCCACTCACCAAGTTCGTAGAGAACGAGGGGAGGTAGAGACCTGACAGGGTGCCAGAGGGGGCTGCCGGGCACGGTAAGACAGTGGAGAAGCTAGCAAGGATAGGACCCCCAGAGGGGTCCGCGAGGGAGACCGCAACCGGCCGACTAAGCGGCGTAAGCGTGGTGCGGTCTTGAAAGAAGGAGCGGGAAGCACCCGAGTCAAGAGTGAAGGTGTGTAAGGCCTGAGCCGACGTGGTACCTGAGAGAGCAGACTCACCAGCACCTGGGGCACCACACGCACTAGCATCTAGAGCAGCAGCCTCACCAGCACCTAAAGCAGCAGCCTCAATGCCCGGGTCAGGCGGAACACACAGGTAAAAGTCACCCTCATCACTAGTAGACACAGCATACATGGCAGCAAGAATAGCATCATAATCAAGATCAAAGATACCAACCCCCGCCCTAGACAGATCTCCCCAGCGAGGGATCTCAGTGGCGTCAGAGAACTGGTGACGCCACGCTTCCGTCAGGCGGCCGAAGCAGCGCTGGGTGGAGTGCGGGCCCCCACACTGCTCACCAGCGCGGTCGCCGGTACGGAGGACGTAGGTGCAGGGACCAGTGCCCCCACCTCGCTGACGCCCAGCGTACCACTCACGAAGCTGCTGGGGGGACGGGGTCTCACGACTGCGTTGCTGCTGCTGGCGCGGACCACCAACGGAGCCACTCCTCTGCGCAAAGCCGCGACCAGCTCCACCGCTGCCTCTGCCGCCTCCGCCACCTCCGCCGCCTCCTCCACCTCCACTGCCTCCGCTCCCTCCGCCACCGCCGCCGCCTCCTCCGCCTCCACCACTGCCACCGACACCTCCACCCCCGCCACCACTCCCACCACCACCCCCACCCACTCCACTACCACCACCACCACCTCCACCGCCCCCGCCAGCCCCTCCAACGCCCTTGCCCCCCTTGCCCTTGCCGGTGTGGCGTCTCCCGCTAGAGGCAGACGCAGCGCCGACCGACTCCTAACCAACGAGGTCAGCCGTAGTAGCAAAAGCAACAGAGGGCAAGAGGGGGGAGGGGGAACACCCCTCAAAGACGGGGGTGCGAGGGTCACTACGAGAGGCTCCTACAGCATCTATGCTTTTTTCTGCTGATAGGAGGCGCTCATCGAGGAGGTCAACGGTGAGTGTTGTGGGGCAAACTGAGAGGAAGTGGTCCCTGACTAAGCGAAGGGAGTCAGGGAGCCGGGTGACTATGTAGTAGAGGGTGATGTACATGGGGGGAGGGTTCTTGGCACAAAATTCAGCAGGAAGCGCAGCGCGGTAGCGAGTGTCGCTAGTGCGAAGGTGCGTAATGAGGTCAGCGACTGTGGGAAAGGCAGCAAGGTCAGGGAACAGGTACGGCAGCATGAGGCGGCTAAGCGTAGCAGTGGCAGGGGAAGAGTAGCGTGCAACTACAGCGTCGTACAAGGTCTTAGCACTCTTGTACTGGCTAAAGTGCGCACGCTCAGTGGTCGGTAAGTGGCGACGTACAGCAAGACGGGCAGCAGCATCGCGTGTGGCCCACTGTGAGCGAACAGTGCTGTCAGCATCGGCAGGCGGGGCAGGAGAGGCACTAGAGGTGAGATCAAAAAGGGAGAGTCCGTCTGCACTATCGCACTGTAGGAAGAGCTGGAGGTCACCGACCCAGACCTCAAAGTCAACAGCACGACCTTGAGCATCAAAGGTAAGGACACTGGGGGTAGCCATGACTGAAGTGGCCTAGCAGGGAGTGATCTCACCAGTCCGAGCAAGTAGGGCCGGGGCGCGCCGGTAGGAACAGTAACGGCCCAACGGCAGGGCGGCTCGGCGGCTCGGTTGTTGGGCGGCTCTGCGGCTCGGCTGCTGGGCGGCTCGGCGGCTCGGTTGCTGGGCGGCTCGGCGGCTCGGCGGTGTCAGAATGTTATAATTATCTAGCATGTAGAGGGGTGCTCTATAGCGAGTACAACCCTGTTAGGGTTTGCGATATGTATCCCAGCTGCTGCTAGTGAGATCCTCCTCTCTTCTTCATTCTCGTTTCACATGCTATCAGAGCATCTACGGTCCTGGCCTGTGGGCCCACCTAACTGCTTCCGCTGCTACTCTGTGCACTACATGCCCCGTGGCGTGCCCCTCGCGCGACCCTTAGTGCCCCGTCGCCACCCCCCGCGGCCCCGACGCCGCCCTTCTCGGCCCCTCGCGGCCCCTTCGCGGCCCCGTTGTCGCCCCTTTCAGGCCCCTCGCGGCCCCTTCGCGGCACGTTGCCGCCCTTCCAGGCCCCTCGCGGCCCCTTCGCGGCCCCGTCGCCGCCCCTATCGGCCCCGTCGCCGCCCCTATCGGCCCCGTCGCCGCCGCCAGCGGCCCCGTCGCTGACCTCTCAGGCCCCTCGCGGCCCCTTCGCGGCCCCGTCGCCGCCCCTATCGGCCCCGTCGCCGCCCCTAACGGCCCCGTCGCCGCCCCTATCGGCCCCGTCGCCGCCCCTATCGGCCCCGTCGCCGCCGCCAGCGGCCCCGTCGCCGACCTCTCAGGCCCCTCGCGGCCCCTTCGCGGCCCCGTCGCCGCCCCTATCGGCCCCGTCGCCGCCCCTAACGGCCCCGTCGCCGCCCCTATCGGCCCCGTCGCCGCCGCCAGCGGCCCCGTCGCCAACCCTAGCGGCCCCGTCGCCGCCAGCGGCCCCGTTGCCGACCCTAGCGGCCCCGTCGCCGCCCCTATCGGCCCCGTCGCCGCCTCTAACGGCTCCGTCGCCGCCACTTGCGGCCCCGTCGCCGCCCCTTTCGGCCCCTCCTCGACCCTGCCCCGGCCCCGCCTCGGCCATGCCCCGTCGCCAGCCGCGGCACACCGGGGGCACGTGCACCGCCCCCCCCCCCTTTTCTCGTCGCCAGCCGCGGCGCACCAGGGGCACGCGCACCCCCCCCCCCCCCCCCCCCCCCCCCTTTTCTCGTCGCCTGTCGCGGCTCCTTCGGGGACCTGGGGGAGGGGGGCGAGCATCGCCCCTTCTGCCGCCTGTTTTGGCGCCCTGGGAAACCGCGCGTCCCCCCCCCCCCCCCCCCCCATAACTTCCCTACCCGCCGTCCCGCCCTGCCCTGTGTTAGGGTCTAGGGGTGGCGAGTAAGGGGTGACGGGTGTGTGGTCTCCCCTGCTCCTCCTCCTCCTTCGTCTCCCACTACTGCAGCTATCGCTGAGGGGGGTGGATGTGTGGGAGCCTGGGGTTTAGGGTTTAAGGGGGGTGCTGTGGGAGTGGAGCTAGGGTTTTGAGGGAGGTGGATGTGTGTGAGCCTGCGGTTTAGGGTGTAAGGGGGGTGCTATGGGAGTGGAGCTAGGGTTTGAGCAGGGGGTGTGTGTCGAGAGGTGTGGGGCAGCTGGAGGAGGTTGGTTGAACGGAGGTTGTCGTCGTGTCGTCAGCAGCACCAGTAGTCCGGGGCGCTGCTCCGGTAGCCCAGTTGTAGCCAGCTGTGTCAGTCGCCCGTGGGTCCATTGCTCGTCTGCCGCTAGTCTTAGCCGCGGAGCCAGTTACTCCAGTAGTCCGGAGCGCTATTCGGGTAGCCGCTGTGCCAGTGTGACTCCTGTTGCCCATGCGTCTGCAGCTTCAGCCGTCGCCTCCTATCTCCTCTCCTCTCACAGTCTCGCCTCCTCCTCCTCACTTGCCCTTTGTGAATGACTCTAGCTTTGCTCGCTATTGTGAACTCCTGCTCTATGCCTGCTTGCTCATTGTGCTGATTACACCCCACTTTGGCTATGGGGGTGTGTCAGAATGTTATAATTATCTAGCCTGTAGTGGGGTGCTCTATAGCGAGTACAACCCTGCTAGGGTTTGCTATATGTATCCCAACTGCTGCTAGTGAGATCCTCCTCTCTTCTTCATTTCTCGTTTCTTCACAGGCGGCTCAGCTGCTGGGCGGCTGGGCAGCTCGGTGGCTTGGTGGCTCTGTTGCTCAGCTGCTGGGCGGCTTAGCGGTGAAGGGGCCGGTAGAGGCGGCGACGGGGCCGGTAGAGGCAGCAATGGGGCCGCTATGGGAGGCGACGGGGCCGCTAAGGGCGGAGAGGTGGCCGCGAAGGGCGTCGACGGGGCCTCCACGGGTGGCGACGGGGCCGCTAGGGGCGGCGACGGGGTCGGAGAGGGGGCGCAAGGGGCCTAGAGGGGCGGCGACGAGGCCGCAAAGGGGCCGTAAGGGGCCTAGAGGGGGCGGCGACAGGGCCGCAAGTGGCGGCGATGGGACTGCGAAGGGGCCGCGAGGGGCCTAGAGGGGCGGCGACGGGGCCGCTAGGGGCGGCGACGGGGCCGCGAAGGGGCCGCGAGGGGCCTAGAGGGGTTGCGACGGGGCCTAGAACGGCGGCGACGGGGCCGTGAAGGGGCCGCAAGGGGCCTAGAGGGGCGGCGACAGGGCCTAGAGCGGCGGCGACGGGGCCGTGAAGCCTTTAGGAGGGCGCGACGTGAGGGCGGCCTACGGGGCGCGCCTCAGGCAGGAAAAAAGATCGAGTTAGGTGGTGGGCCCTGAGAAGCGTTCCCACGAGGAAACCTGCTCTATACCATGTGAAGAATGAGGAATGGATGAACTAGGAAAGAGGTGGGTACAAGTAGGAAAACCTAGAAATGTTGTACCCCATATAGTCCACCCCACTACAGCCTACACAGACTATAGCATATAAGTTTGACACAGCGGACCTCTGACACCCCCCCGCACTGGGATGCCCAAAGTGCACACACTGGGATTCGAACCTAAGACCTTTGCTTTGATACCATGTCAGAATCCCAGCCAGGCCACTGGGATAAAAAGGCTTGTTAAGTAGTGGGTCAGTGCGCCCAAAACCCCCCAAGCCAACATGCAGGGTCCTCGCTAGTGACAGAACCCGCCTGACGCATCAGACAATTTAGTTAGGGCCCGCCTTTTGCATCAGATATTAGAATTTGTCCTAACTTATAAGTCAGAATTTTTTTTAAGGCCTACTCTATGTTTACCAACAAGATTCTAGAAACCATTCTACATTAGTCAGGTCAGATTCTAAGCTACCTACACTATGAGTCTCTGAAGCACCATCACTTACCTACTCAATGTCAGAATCACTGGTGAGGGTTAGCGTTGCACGGACATCCAGGCCATCATCTTCACGATCACTTTCTGGAACCTTGTCCCTCTTGCGACGCTTCTTAATAGCAGGGTATGACTTCTCGGCTGCCTCTGCCTCTAGTGCCACGTCATCTGATTTTGTGGCCAGCCCCTTGCGCTTGTTGCCCTTCTTAGCCACACCAGTGACTTCCTTTGCAGGGCGCTGCTGCCTTGCACCACGCCACAGCTTAACTACATCGTCCCAGTCTGGCTCGTACTGCAGGAGAGAGATACACATGAGATCAGCAAGTCTGGCATCGCACAGGTTGCCACGAAGCCAGAACTTGACGTTTTGGCGACTGAAACCACGCTCTTACTCCACTGTGCTGAGCGGTATCACAGAGACGGCCATCCACAAGCGGACGAGGCTCGGGTACGTGTGAGAATTGAGGAATGAAGAAGAGGGAGGGTTCACTAGCAAACATTGGGATACATATGGCAAACCCTAAAAGGGTTGTACTCACTATAGAGTACCCCACTGCAAACTAGAGAAACATAATATTCTGACACACCCCCATAGTCAAAGTGGGGTGTAATCAGCACAACAAGCAAAGCAGAACAAGCTAAGGGTGGATCACAATGTTACCACACATTCTGAGCACAAGTACTAGAAGCAACAGTTTAAAGTTCACAAATGTAAGAAAAGCTAGAGGCTATCGCAGAGGGCAAGTGTGGAGAAGGAGGGACTATGAGAGGAGAGGAGGTAGTGGGCGGCAGCTGAAGGTGCTGGCACATGGGCGGCAGCTGAAGGTGCTGGCACACGGCGCAACTGGAGCAACTAGCACACGGGCAACTGGAGCAACTGGCACACTGGCAACTAGAGCAACTGGCACACGTGCTACTGGAGTAACTGGCTCCGCGGCTAAAAGTAGCGGCAGACGAGCAACGGACTCACGGGCGACTGGAGCAACGGGCTCACGGGCGACTGGCGGAACGGGCTCACGGGCGACTAGCACAACGGTCTCACGGGCGACTGGGGCTGCGGGCTTCACAGCGGCCACCCCCTTTCAACCTCCCTAAACTATCCCACCCCCATTTCACACACCTCCTACTGCACCCCTAGGTTCACTCACACCCCACCCCCTAGCACCACTCCGTCGACTCCCACACACCCACCCCCCTCAGCGGCAGCTGCAGCAGTGGGAGACAGATGAGGAGGAGGAGTAGGGGAGACCACACACCCGCCACCCCCTACTCGCCACCCCCAAACCCTAACAGAGGGCAGGACGGGATGGCGGGTAGGGAGGTTACGGGGGGGGAAGGGGGTGGGGGGGGGGGGCGACGCGCGGCCTCCCAGGGCGCCAAAGCAGGCGGCAGAAGGGGCGACGCTCGCCCCCCCCCCCCCCCCCAGGTGGCCCCCGAAGGAGCCGCGACGGGCGACGGGAAAAGGGGGGGGGGGGGGGCGGTGCACGTGCCCCCGGTGCGCCGCGGCTGGCGACGGAGCATGGCCGGGGCGGGGCCGGGGCCGCAAGTGGCAGCGTCGGGGCCGCTGGAGGCGGCAACGGGGCCGATAGGGGCGGCGATGTGGCCGTAAGTGGCGGGGACGGGGCCGATAGGGGCGGCGACGGGGCCGCTAGGGTCGGCGACGGGGCCGCTGGCGGCGACGGGGCCGATAGGGTCGGTGACGGGGCCGCTGGCGGCGACGGGGCCGATAGGGTCGGCGACGGGGCCGCTGGCGGCGACGACGGGGCCACTATCTGCGGCGACGTGGCCGATAGGAGCCGCGACGTGGCCGCTAGGTTCGGCAATGGGGCCGCTGGCGGCGGCGACGGGGCCGCTGGCGGCGGCGACGGGGCCGATAGGAGCGACGACGGGGCCGCTAGGGTCGGCGACGGGGCCACTGGCGGCGTCGACGGGGCCGATAGGGGCGGCGACGGGGCCGCGAAGGGGCCGCGAGGGGCCTGGAAGGGCGGCGACGGGCCGCGAAAGGGGCGGCGACAGGGCCGCGAAGGGGCCGCGAGGGGCCTAGAAGGGCGGCAACGGGGCCGCGAAGGGGCCGCGAGGGGCCTGGAAGGGCGACAACGAGGCCGCTAAGAGTAGCGCGAGGGGCACGCCACGAGGCGTGCCGAACTCAGAGTAGCAGCGGAAGCAGTTAGGTGGGCCCACAGGCCAGGAGCGTAGATGCTCTGATAGCATGTGAGAATTGAGGAATGAAGAAGAGGGAGGGTTCACTAGCAAACATTGGGATACATATGGCAAACCCTAAAAGGGTTGTACTCACTATAGAGTACCCCCCTGCAGACTAGAGAAACATGATATTCTGACAGTACGACGTCTCCCAGTCACTGCTTCGTAGCATGTTCTTGAGGCCTGCGTGGAAACTCTGATCCTTGTATTGGGCGTACATCATCCATGTGAAGCGCGGCAGTTCCCGTTCGGCCTTCTTCCAGCTGACACCTAGCAGGCATAATGAAACGAAACAAGCAGTCAGTGCTCAGAGTGGTCAACGATGTACACATCCACAGTTACAAATCAACACGTAGAGAGCTTGGCGGCAATGCGGATGCGTACCAGGCAAAGCACAGTTATCGCCATTGAAGAGCGTGCGAAGGGAACGGAACCACTCCCTAGTGACGCGATCACGCTTTGCAGCACCATCTGGATAGGCGTCAGGCAGAAAGAGCTTAGAACCAATCAAGGTCGCCAAGCTCTTAAACCGGAACTTGAGGCGGCCAACCACTTCCTTCGCAAATTTGGTGGCAAGTCGCACACACGATTCCAAACCCGGTGGTGATTTCACGCATAGGATTGGCAGCTCGTGCAACAAGAAGGTGTGAGTGACGGCGTTGCCTTTGCTGTCCATCCCCTCCAGTTTGACTTCACGGCGGGAGGGATGCGTGCGTTTTTCATGGAACGCAGTGAGATGGTCGTTGTCCTCTGCAAAGCTGACACCGTACTCCACGTAGCGCGCCGTCAGCTTCGCGCATGTGTTCTCCACCATCCCTGACACTCGAATGACGTCCACCTGAAACAAGTTGAAGTACTTGATGCTAG